GGGGGGGGGGGGGGGGGGGGAGGGTGTATAGACAAACACGTTAGAATTAATATTTGACTCTACAGCAAGGCAGAAGCTGGATAATGTGCCTTTTGTGCGACAAAGCAAACGATAATCTAGATCTTGATCTATTAACTGAATTTTTTTTCCCGCTCAAGTGACAAAAAACCAACAGTTGATACCTACTGAACTGTCACTGGCATACAACAAGGCACGTCCTCTTACCTGAACGAATGCAATCCGCAAGAGTTCCGCCGAATTTTGTTTTCAAACACTTCAGACGAGTAAAAATATTTGCGGTCAAATGTTTTCTCAATAAGGAATGACTGTTGGTAGCATCCCTCAATTTCTTGAAAAGTTGTTCTGCCTCTCCGTCGGCCATGGTGGAAGCGAAAAGTAGTTTGAAGTGAAGAAGTACTTTTTCCCGACAGTTATCAAAGTCAAAATAATGCGAAAGACAGCGTTTTTCCCATTCAGTCAGCAAAGGACGTGGGCAAGGGCGTAGTGACGTAGCGACAGCTCCCGTCAGCCAATCAGACAGCTCGGCACAACCCGGCTCGGCTCTCCAACTCGTTGTTTGAACATGCTTATCAAAATCCGATTGCGCACCGCTGCGGGTGGAATACAACAAAAACCCTGACTATGCATTTCTTATCATCGTTACTACTATCGTTTTTCTGGCACAGATGAAGTGCAGCTAGATTATATTCACCAGCCCAAATCTAGCAGGGCGATCATTAACCTTAGGCGCCATGTTAAATAAAGGGCGCGAGAAACTTCATATAAACGCACCATGTTGAACGACAGCGATACCGGGGTTAGCGAACGTACTGAACCGAAAAAAAGCAATTTTCAGATTGGCTTTTGCTTCGGAACAATTTTTCAAACATTCGTAACATTTTTTAGAGCGACACGTCCTTCTGAACTGTAAGCTAGTGTCCAATTGTAAATCACGTTTCGGTAAAATATTCTGATAATCTAATTAATGTACTTTTTCCAGAGTTATCGTTACGTAAAACAAACCTGTAGTTAGTCTCTCTCTCTCTCTCTCTCTCTCTCTCTCTCTCTCTCTCTCTCTCTCTCT